CAAGTTCGCCATATGAATAGCTGAACCTTAGGAGGAACTCTTAACTTCCAAATGCTCTTCCAAAAGGCTGAAGGCCTAGAAGCAGATGGCTGTGTGGCCATGGAAAGAGAGGTAGCAACAAAGTAAGCAGTTTTAACAGAGAAATCCCCACTCTTAGTGTAATGCCACACAATAGTATCACATGAAGCTGCCAAAGGGATCTTAAGAATTTCATTCACTTCATATGGTTGAAATAAAGCATTTAATTTCCTAGTATCCCAAGTTCCACGCGCGGACACCAAGTTACTCACTTTCAAATTCTCCTTATCAGGAGGAGCAGGAGATAAAATGCGAAAGGATGGGAGCATAGGAACCCATGCATCAGACCACACATTAACCGACTCCCCTGATCCAATATTCCATCCTAATCCATGCTGAAGCAAGTTTCTTCCTTTAAGTAGGCTTTTCCATGCCCAAGATGGATTACTTCCCTCCTGAGCATTAACAAAGTCCACATCTGGAAAATGGATAGCTTTCAAGACTTGTGCCCACAAAGCATTTGGGTGATTAATTAATCTCCATGCTTGTCGGGCAAGAAGGGCCAAATCAAAGCACTCTAAATCCTTAAATCCCAACCCTCCGTGCCATTTACTAGTGACCATTTTAGTCCAGGGGATCCAACTAATTCTCTTTTCTTGTTCTTGTTGACCCCACCAAAATGCTCTAATCTCTTTATTGATGAGAGAGCAAATTCGTACCGGAAACTTAAAGCATGCCATAGCATAGGAAGGCATGGCTAACACAACTGCCTTAATTAGTACTTCACGACCAGCTTGCGAAAGCAGGGCTCTTTTCCATCCTTGCAACCTAGCTGTTACTTTATCTACCAGATATTATAAACTAGCTTGCTTTGACCTACCCCATGATGTTGGTAGGCCTAAATACTTGGAGACTGAAGAGTCGCTTCTGATTGCGAACTGGGCACAAATCTCTGTCCTTCTACAAAAGGGGGTATTATTGCTAAATATAATAGCAGATTTAGAGAAATTAACCTGCTGGCCCGATGCAACAGCATATTGCCTCAAAATCTCCAAAATCTGAGCAGCTTCTTGGTATGTTGCCTTCCCAAAGACAAGGGTATCATCAGCAAAGAGTAGATGAGATATTTTCGGACATCCCCTTTTGATTTGAAAGCCGGAAATGTACCTCTGCCTTTCAGCTTCATTAAACATGCGAGATAAAACATTAGAGACAAATAAGTAGAGATAAGGTAAAAGTGGGTCGCCTTGGCGTAGCCCCCTTTTTGGATAAAACAAAGGCATGGATTTGCCATTCACAATAAGAGAATAAGAAACAGTAGTTACACATTGCATGATCCACTGCACCCAGCGCTCACAAAAACCAAAAGCTCGGAGCACATCTTGTAAGAAAGACCATCGAACACTATCATAAGCTTTGCGAATATCAAGTTTGACAGCCATGTAAGGACACCCTTTATTGCGTCTGAGCTTGAGAGAATGGAATGCTTCATGAGCAACAAGGATGTTGTCCTGTATCATCCTGCCGGGCACAAAAGCTGACTGAAGGGGAGAAATCAAACAATCAAGCAACCCTTTCAATCGATTAGCCAAGATCTTTGCTATTATTTTATATGAAAAATTGCAAAGAGAGATGGGTCTATACTGAGATATCATCTCTGGATTCTTAACTATGGGCACAAGGACAATATTAGTGCAATTTAATTCCTTAAACATGTATCCATGTTCAAAGAAATGAGATATAGCAGTGAAAATATGAGTTCTCACCAGGTTCCAATTTCGATGATAGAAAACACCGGGGAAACCATCCGGCCCTGGTGATTTGAATGCCCCTAGTTGAAAGGTTGCTTGTTCCACCTCCTTCATTGTCACAGTGGCACAAAGTTTAGAATTCATCTCATCTGTAACAGTTGGTTGAATAAGGTTCAAAATGTCAGTATAGTTGGAAGCATTGTGCTCAGAATAAAGATTTTGAAAAGTGTGAAAAATATGTTGCTCGATGTCAGCAGGCTGTTGCAACCATCTTCCCATATCATCTTTTAGCTTTACAATATGATTTCTGGATCTCCTTCGTGAGGCAATAGCATGAAAAAAGGAAGAGTTCCTATCCCCAAATTTCAACCAGTTGACACGTGAACGTTGAAACCAGTAAGCCTCATCTTCAGACCATATTTTATCTATATGCTGAATAATTTCTCTCTGTTTTCGCGAATTGTTAGCATCCATGGGCTGCTGTTGAAGCAAAGCAAGCTCATTTAAGAGAAATTGAACATCAGAGGATTTATGACTTCTATGCTGCTTACTCCAATCCTTCAAAGTCTGCTTACAACTTTGTAGCTTCTTAGCCAATTGGAATAAGGAAGATCCTGACGTAACTTTGTGCCATCCTTGCTGAATCACCTCCGTAAACCCATCCTGTAACTCCCATTGCATTTCATAGCGAAACCTCTTGCCCTTTGGTTTAGGGATTGCATCAGTGCTTAACACTAAAGGGCAATGGTCTGAACCCAATCGGAGTTCGTGTAAAACTTGAGTAGAAGGAAATAAATTTTGCCATGCTGAATTTGCCAACGCTCGGTCTAGTCTTCTCTGAACATTGGCATCTCCCTCACGACCATTTGTCCAAGTGTAAGGGCTGCCCTTAAAACCAAGGTCCACTAAGTGTCCTTGTGCCATCAATTCATTTAGTAAGAAGAAAGAATTAGACGAACCTGCGTGCTGGCAGTCCCCGCTTGAAGTCAAAAGATTCAAATCCCCTAGCACCAGCCAAGGGATGACTTGAGACCGATGAATTCGCGTAAATTCCCTCCAAAAGCTTGGACGCTCTGCTCTCCGTGATGGACCATGTACAAATGTGAAGTGCCATGTGTCCTGTTGTTTCTCTCGACACACTCCATCGATGAAAAACTTGGTCTTCTCAAAGAAATGTATATCCATGCCTTCCTCCCACCAGATGGCAAGACCGCCTGACCTTCCATCCGGCTCAACGTACTCCCCTCCAAAGAACCCCAATTGCCGACGGAGTCGCTCTAATACCCAGGTTCGTTGCTTTGTCTCCATCAGGAAAACAATGGAAGGACGCAATTTATAGCAAAGATCTTTGAGCGTTCTCTTGGTTAAGGCCTGCCCAAGGCCCTGACAGTTCCATGAGACAACAATCATCTGTACACCGGTGGCTGAGGCGGCCCAACCACCTTATCTCACTAATCCCACTGGATTTGATGAAACAGAACAGTACAGTGAAAGGCACGGGAATGACCTAATAAAAGGGGAAAAGTACTGTAGAAGGAATAGGAAACTCTAGAGTTGGCCGATACAAATGGACAATACAGCTCAAATACAAGTGAAGCAGTTGAAGGTAGCAGAAGGAGATCAGAGCAAAAGAAGAAATGTGGAGACAAAAGTCAGAGAAGCCGACATTGGAAGCCACAATGGGCGACGGACGCCACGACGATCACCAAACTCCAGGCTCCAGAGGATCAGAGCACAGAAGAAGAGAGAATTTTGGGTACACAGAGAGATGAGAACGAAAGAAGTGGTGGAAACCGGACAGGAAACGCCGGACGAGAAAGAGCACGTCGGCTCAGAAAACTCCAGAAGCTCACCGAGCTTCAGAGACCTGACCGTACTACATGGGAAAGCTAATTCCGAGTCGAGTACTTTCGTAAAGAAATTTGGTACGACCAATGGTCTTTTCTTCTAGGCCTTACGAAAATTCCTCTGCCGTCTGCTTCTTCACATCTGCGGCAGAGGATAACTTGCCAATATATAATAAATTAATAATGGAAGAAGAATCATATCCCAGTCCCATAGAAGACCAAAGACAGGCAAAACCATACCAATAATTCTCTCCCAATGGCACAATTTAGTACTTCCCCTTTCCCTCCATCGGCAAATCCCCTGCCGATCAATATTGCTCCGATCATCAGCCCCCATTTTTGCGCTTCTTACCCTGTTGATCTTTCCATCCTCCGGAAGGTCAAGACCATGAGAGACGGTGACTTTGTCGTCACCGATATCAACGGGAACATCATGTTCAAGGTGAAGGGATCTGATTTTAGCCTTCACAATAATCGGGCCTTGCTCGATGCCGCCGGAAATCCTATTGTCACACTAAGACAAAAGGTTAACCAATTCATTACGTCTTTTTTTTTTTATCAACCATCCGATATTTGGAAACTCAGTGAATCATCGATTCATTCGAATTTGAGTCGGAGAGGACTAATAAACAGTAAAATTTTTTCATACGAGTTTTAGTAAAATTACATTCTCAAGATTTAAAATCAAGACTTTTGATTAAATTAAAAGAGTTTTGTATCAATTCATCCACTCACTAATGGATATTATGTCTTATTGTAACAATTGTGAGTGTATTTTTTTTTAACCTATGATTTTTAACCAGCGTACATTAAAATTAATTCTTTTTAAAAGATTGTTACAGAAAACAACTATAATTGTTCTTATGATTGTAATTGGTTAGAATATCCTTATATTTAGATAAATAAAATTTGTTGTTGTCCGAAAAAAAGTTCACTTCTTATCATAACAGCAGTAGTTTCAAGAGCATTTCAAAACTGGTAAAAAAATTAAAAATTTTGTTTTTAATACTTATATTGAACTAATTGATTAGACATTGACATAGATATTTTTTATAATATATTTATTAAAAAATTATTATTATTATTTTAAAATTAAAAAAATAAAAATACAATTATACAGATAATGGAAGGAAACTGGCTACAATCATATTATTAAACCCGGTTATATGTAAGCGTGTATGCCAGTTTAGAGGATATTCAAAACATTTTCCTAATTAATTTCATTGTTTGGGCAGTTAATGAGCGCACATGATAGATGGCAAGTTTTCAGAGGAGAAAGCACAAATTCGAGTGATTTGATATTTACAGTGAAACGATCTTCAATGCTTCAATGGAAGACGAAAGTAGATGTCTTTCTTGCAAATAACACAGACGACAAGGTTTGTGATTTCAAGGTCCAAGGAAGTTGGTCGGAAAGATCTTGTGTGGTTTACGCCGGAGAGTCTTCCTCCATTGTTGCACAGGTAAGAATAATTTCTTGACCACCCTCTAACACTAATAACTGAAAACCCTGTACGAGAAATGAAACTAATTTCTTAGATTCATGTGTCTGCAGATGCACAAGAAGACTACTGTTCAAGGCGCGTTGATCGGAAAGGACAACTTCATGGTGACTGTGTATCCAAACGTTGATTATGGATTCACTGTAGCTCTTATTGTCATTCTAACTGCAATCAATGAGGCCGGCCAGCGAGTCACCATCAACGGCTCGGTTGATATTTCCTTCTAATTAATTCTAGTTACTGTTTTGGCTAGAGTGATGGAAATTTAAATTGGTTGATGTTTAGAAAAAAAAAAAAAAGGATATTTTAACTAGTGATTTAAGGGTTAGTTTAAAAATATTTTTTTAATATTAATTATTGTTGAAAAAATAAAATTAGATATTTATTTAATTAACTATTCAATTAAAACAATACATTTAATATTGGTGATAAAATTAATAGGTTAAATACTTTTTTTAGTCTTTCTACTCTAGAAAAAAGCTCATTTTTAGTCTTTATACCAAAAAAATCCTTTTTTTGGTCCTGTTAATTTTTTTGTTAACGTGACAGGTTAATTAAAGAAAAATTTTATTTTTTTTCTTTACTTAAATTACGTGTAAAATCCATCCGGTAAAACTCAATTACATTATCAAATTTTTTATCTTTAATTACCAATTTACCCTCATTTCTTCCCCCATCCTCTCTTTCCTTCAACCTTTTTTTTTATTTTTTTTCTCACCTACAGGCGAACCCAAGAGCTTGGGTTCGTAGCGATGAACCCAGCTCCTGGGTTCGTCGCGAACCCACGACCAAGGTTCATCGCGACAAACCTAGCGTGGATTCGCGACGAACCCAGGAGCCTAGGTTCGCGATGAACCCATGAGCCTTGCCGAAACGGTAGCGATCGGTGGGTGTCGGAAGGAAACAGAGAAGCGTATATTACTACTACTATTTAACAATGGCGTCTCGTCCCTTTGAAGATGATGGCTACATAGGCTATGATCCTCGCCTCGTTTTCCAACTTCGATGCTGATTCAGTCAAGGATTCTGTACTTGACTCGCCGTCGGTATTCAATAGTCAGTCATACAGTTCTGGAGATGACGTGTTTCGTTTCTCAGCCGCTTCCGGAGACTCCGTCACCTCCTCTTATCTCTAGCGGTGGATTCTCGGAGTTTTCGCTGAAGCAGAACGGAAAAGATCTCGGTGGAGACTTTGGAGGATCGGATGGTCCGATCCTGCCACCGTCTTCGCAGATGGAGTCGAATGAGGGCTTTGCTTTGAGAGAATGGCGCAGGTAGGCTTCTTCGTTTCTTCGTGTTATTGATTCTCTGGTTCATGTTTCTTTGATTTATCAAATGGAGCCGATCGCCTTTTGGTAGATTATTGAAAGTTCTGCTCTTGATTTTAGCTTTTGATTTGTTCATTCAGATTTCAGATCCTCAATTTTCAATTTCCTAAAATTTTTGCTGTTCTTGGGTTCATTTCCGCTTCTGTTGTTGGATGTTTCTAAAGCTATTTGTTTGAGAAGAACATGCTTTCTTTTTTTTGGCAGGGATTGAGAACCCAGCTTGCGCCTGGGTTCGCGACTTGGCAGAGATTGAGAACCCAGCTTGCGCCTGGGTATGTCACGAACCCAAGCACGAGCTGGGTTCATTGCCAATGCAATCACACGAGCTGGGTTCATTGCCGACCCAGTCGCGCGAGTTGAGTTCATCCTGGGTTCGCGATGAACCCAAGCACCTGGGTTCATTACAAACCCGTGAGCTGGGTTCGCCTGAAGGTAAAAGGAAAAAAAGACAAATAAAAAAAAAAAAAAAAAAGCTGGAGGAAGTGGGGTGACGTGGAGGGTGGCGTAGAGTTCACATAAACATATTTTACGTGTTGGCATACCCGTCAGCTGTTCTAGTTAAATTAACATGCCACGTAAACAAAAATTAACGGAAGGATCAAAAAGGGGCAGATTTGTGAACAGTAAGGACTAAAAAGGAGATTTTTTCAGTACAGGAACTAAAAAGAACCTTTTTCCTATAGTAGAGAGACCAAAAATGGTATTTAACCAAATTACTATTATTAGTTTTTGTTATTTTTTATATTAATTACTATTAAAAAAATATATCAATTATGCCTTTAACCTATGCCCTAACACATGTTAG